GCAACAAAGCCACGCACCTAAAGATCCTAGTCTAGTCGGATAAAAATTTTGAGAACCACTTTCCTTTCCTTTGCAAGGGAAAGACCGGATTCTAAAAAATGGATTTCATCCGATCTTATTCTCATGGGGGTAAGATCAGATCTCACCCTACAGGCGTCTATAGTAAGATTTAAACAATCTAATCTAACAATCACTTAACGTATAATATCGAAATGCTTAAAAACTTATAAAAAGAGGCCAATTACTCACCAAGATACCATAATAAAGTTGACAGGGGTAAGGCCGGATCTTCGAAAAACACGAAAAATCGTATATTTTATCCTCACAGTCCATAACACGCGCGCGAACAAGTGAACTGACTGACGCGGAATGAAGGTGGGGCTAACCAAAATGGCGTTCTATATTGTGTTGCCAGTTCTATGAAATAACGTAAGATTTGGTAATAATTTGATTTATACGATCTTACCCCGCATACGAACTTACCCCAACGCACCTTAATGGTTGGTAATGATTGTATTACATTGATTTCTTTTTTGCTTTTGTTAATTTTATGCATTTATTAATATTATTATTTTTATTATTACAATAATTGAAGACATGTAAGGATCAACATGAGCAGCCCCTGTAAAGTTAGGTGTCCTTATTGCCCGGGATCGCCCAAGTTGTACGTACAATCAAGGGGTCTTATTGTGCATATTAGTCGAGCGCATAGGGATGTAGCCCATCGCAGAGTCGATGACTCGTCGGTTCCAGGTACTGGCTCTGGGGCGCGGACGGTCACTCCTGCGCCAGCCTTAAGTGAGGTGACACAAGCGGCACAGAGCACATTCGGTCTTCATAATTTACCATCGCTTAAGAAGCAAATTCGAGTCCTTAGACATATACCCAAAGGGGCGAGGAATCTTGCGGCTGGCAGGTTGTGTTATTTGATAGATGAGTGCCTGCGATCGAATGGTGTGGATGACTGGTTCAACTTATTATCTTTCCCTTTTTCGGCCTTGAGGGTTCCAGGTGATGAGGGGCGCAAATCATTAACCTCCAAAGTAAAGAATAATGTACTTAACGAAATTTTAAATTTTCCGGGTACTCAGTCAACACATAAACCGCATTCGACCTACCGTACCATAGAGGCTAAGGTGTATGACGGTGATTTGAGAGGGGCCGTCCGCTTACTGTTGTCGGACTCGTCGTTGGCTCCAGCGAATGATAATACCTTGAGAGCATTAGAAGACAAACATCCGTCTCCTTCTAGGCCCCTGAATTTTCTACCGGAACCAAGCCTCACGAGTCCCTCCTTATCTGTTACACCTTTACAGACGTGGCTATGGCTTTGGGGTCGTTTTACAATGGTTCAGCTGCTGGTCTTGATGGCTTGCGCCCTCAACATCTCAAAGAGCTTACATCACCTTCTGCGGGAGACAACGGTCCACGTTTACTAAAGTTGCTCTCCGATTTGTGCAATTTTCTTTTACGGGGTATGCTGAATTTGGAAGTGGCTCCTTACTTGTACGGTGCATCTCTTTGCGCCCTTTCGAAAAAGGATGATGGTATTAGGCCAATTGCCGTGGGTGGTATGTATCGCCGCCTAGTGGCAAAGCTTTGCTGTAGGTCAGTTAGAGACATAATGTCGACCCACCTTCAGCCGAGGCAGGTGGGATTCGGGACGCCACTGGGCTGCGAGGCGGCGATACACGCCACCCGCTCTTTTGCGATGGGCCATGAGGGTACAGATACAGTGGTCGTCAAAATAGATATTAGAAACGCTTTTAACAGTGTGGAGAGAGATATTATTTTGTCGGAAATTTTGGAAAATGTGCCATCCCTGTACCCCTTTGTCTACCAGTGTTACTCGGTCCCCAGTAATCTTTACTACGGTGAAAATTCCATCTTATCGCAGGTGGGTGCTCAACAGGGCGATCCTCTGGGGCCTTTATTGTTCTGTTTGGCTATCCAGAAAATCATATCATCATTGGACTCACCATTGAATGTCTGGTACCTAGATGATGGCACTATTGGCGGAAGTCCAGAAGTGGTTTTGCAAGATTTAAAGAGACTCGGAGTAGCTTTGAAAGCTGTTGGTCTAGAAATAAATCCAAATAAGTGCGAGTTATTTAATTGTGGATTTATTAACGCGGACGTACTAGAAAATTTGATGGTTCTTTTGCCGGGCATCAAGCAGCTGGATAGGTCGTCTGTCAGCCTATTGGGTGCGCCAATATTTCCTGAGGGTGTCAGTTCTGCTCTTCAAACAAAAAGACTGGCACTTTTAGCTGCACGGGAACATTTGTCGCATCTGTCGGCTCATGTGGCGCTCGTCTTGTTGCGGAATTGTTTAGGGATGCCCCGAATGACTTATATATTGAGGACATCTCCCACGTGGCTTTTTGAGCGAGACGTGGCCCTTGTAGATGATGTACTCGGAGTTACGCTGGAGGTAGTGCTAAACATAAGTCTTACTCTACCACAGTGGTGTCAAGCTGCACTTCCCATTAGGCATGGTGGACTTGGAGTGCGTCGAGTGCAAGATGTGGGGTTTGTGGCGTTTCTGGCTTCGTCTTATGGCTCTGCGGATCTCGTTGCTCGCATTTTAGCTCAAAATGGCAGCGGTATTCGCATACCATTCCAAGCAGAAGCTCTTACCTGGTGGTCAAGTCTTTGCCCAAGCGACGAGCACCCGGATAATCCTAGTTTGCAGAGAAATTGGGACGACGTTCTATGCAAACGAAGGTATAGTTCCTTGTTGGAGGGTGCTTCGGGTGCCGATGTGGCCCGTCTGAGAGCGGTCGCTAAATCAGAATCGGGAGCGTGGTTACATGCTTTGCCATCTCCCCAGTTGGGTACTTTGCTCGACAACACATCTTTGAGGATAGCAGTAGCACTGAGATTGGGAAGCAAGGTTTGTGAACCACAGCGCTGTGTGTGTGGGGCTATGGTGAGGGAGGACGGACACCACGGTTTGAGCTGCCAAAGGTGTGCGGGTCGTTTTCCCAGACACCATGCCATTAATGACATTGTGCGACGGGCGATGGTGTCGGCTAATGTCCCTTGCGTGCTCGAGCCCCCGGGCCTGAGTCGAATAGATGGTAAAAGGCCGGACGGTTTGACATTGGTTCCTTGGCGGAAAGGTCGTTGTCTTCTGTGGGACGCAACATGCGTAAGTACTTTTGCTGCGTCCCACATAAGACAAACTTCGCAGATGGCGGGTTCCGCGGCGGAAAGTGCCGCGAAACTAAAACACGCGAAATATTCTGCCTTGGAGCCTGTGTACGACTTTGTACCGGTCGCGGTCGAGACGGCGGGGCCTTGGGGTTCGGAAGCTCGGGACCTATTTAAAGAGTTGGGTCGCCGACTCAGAGACAGGGGCTGCGATCACCGCTCTGGGTCGTGGTTGGTTCAGCAGGTGTCCATTGCTGTCCAGCGAGGCAATGCTGCCAGTATAATGGGAACTTTTGCCCCGGGCACGATACAGGGCGGGATTTCTTTTTAAATTAAGTATATTTAACGTGAATCTCACTTTTTTTGTATTAGATTACCTATTGACGAAGCCTTGTGCTGATCTTTAGGTTATACATTTTATTATTGTTCATAAATGCATTTTGTAAATTTTGGAATAAATGAATTTGAGAGCTTCACATGCACAGAACACTATACTCACAAGGAGATAACATGTGATTTCACTTTCACTTGCTTTTTTTTATTAATAATTTTGGCTTGGATACATGTCTTCGTTTAATTATGTTTCTGTAAATAAGGCCGCCACAAAGAGGATAGGCAATTTGAGGCGGCGTGATTGGATTGACTCAGGATTCCTTAGAACGGGCCGATACGGGTATTTTAGTTCGAGATTCGTATAATTTCGCGTTTTAATCTTCGATTAGGGCACAATAGCACTATCCTATTCCACTTTAAACTAGATTTCACAAAATAATTGAAAGTCAAAATAAAAACGACACTTTTCCCTCCAAAGAGCCCAGAGCGAATCTTTCACTTGCCTTGATTGATTATTCGTTCAGTAATAATTAGAAGGAAGGTAGCCAGTTGCTTTGTATCAAATGATAAAATAAGTAAGATAAAATTTTGATTGGTTCTTCTACAATTTATTAGTGATAAAATTACTAACAATCATAAAAATACCTATATACTTAGAATAATAACACATAGAAACCTAGTCCGCACACGCTAAGTGAGGCAAATTGAAGCGCGCCAAAAGGGCCTACACGAGCGGGCGGGCCTTCAGTGCTCAAGGTCAACTTGCACCGCGAACAGATCAAGAATTTTATATATAATGAGTGTAAAAATACGTCAGACAAACATAAAATAGATACTAACATCACATTCCACAAGGAAGTAACGCGTTTCAACTTGTATTTTTATATAAATGTTCACTACACTACATGAATTTGATTTTTGCCTCACTTGTGACAGTTCGTTTGATATGAAACTATCATTCTATGCGTTATTATTCTAAGCCTATGTATTACAAAAAATATTCAAAGCACAGTGATGGAATGAAGGATCGTGGCCCTCTACAAATTTTATTTAACAAACACTCTCATAGAGTAAAACTTTACTTTATTTGATATTTCAGTCTTTGGGAGAAATTTAAAATTAAGCAACTTAAATATTGAAACAAAATTGTTCTTGTCTTTTAAAGTACAGATTATCTTTAACAAACTTTAAAGAATTATTTCTATTATGTTATGGTTTTCCAATAGTTTTCTATGTACCTGTTTTCTAAAACCATGTAGCTACTGATCAATAATCAAATTATTATATTTTCTAATAATAAAAGAAATTCTGACCAACTTTTTAACTTTGCAAGAAATGTTTTGCTAAAGAAATTTATAATAAATATGTCAGCCGTGATAACACTAACAACATAAATTTGTTATACAGTTAAATTCACCTTTTCATAAATTTGTCTGTCATATGTTTAATAAATTTCTTTAGCAAAGCATTGTTTCGTATGCTAAAAATCTATATCAGCAGCCAATGCATTCATATTTTCGTGTTTTATTTATATAACAGTACATGTTTTTCTGTAGCCATTGACAAAAAGTTCTAAATTTGCGATCACTGCACTATTTACACCCATCTAGGTCATTTTGATTACAACTTTCTTTTTGTAATGTCTTCTTCCTAACAAATTGGCATGTTTTCATATGTCTCTTTTGATTGTACCTCGTTGGATATCTAAATCCACAGCCAAGGCATATATATTTTCGTGATTCATCATGTAACATCATGTGTTTTTCTAAAGCCGGAAGCGAAAATGTTTTAAACTTGCACTCATTGCAATATTTATAACTATCAAACTCAGTCTGATTATGGAAACTTTGTATATTGATTTCCCTAGCAAAACGGCACGTTTCCATATGCCTTTTTTGGTTGCGCCTTGCTGCATATCTCAGACCGCAACCGGTGCATATATACTTACGTGATTTATCATGTAACATTTTGTGTTTTTCAAAAGTCGAAAGAGAAAATGCCTCAAAGTTGCATTCATTGCAATATTTATAACTATCTAGTTCATTTTTAATACTTGAACTTTGTTTTTGTAGTTCCTCTTTCGTAGCGAAGTGACATGTTTTCATATGTCTCTTTTGGTTGTACCTCGTTGGATATCTAAATCCACAGCCAAGGCATATATATTTTCGTGATTTATCATGTAACATCATGTGTTTTTCTAAAGCCGGAAGCGAAAATGCTTTAAAATTGCATTCGTTGCAATATTTATAACTATCAAACTCAATCTCGTCATGGGAACTTTGTCTTTGTAGTTGGATTTCCTTAGCAAAATGGCATGTATCCATATGTTTCCTTTGGTTACGCCTCGTTGTATATCTAAGTCCGCAACCAATGCATATATATTTTCGTGAGTTGTCATGTAACATCATGTGTTTTTCTAAAGCCGAAAGCGACGGTGTTTTAAAATTGCATTCATTGCAATATTTATAACTATCATACTCAGTATGATTATGGGCACTTTGCAGTTCAATTTTGCAAGCAAAGCGGCATGTTTTCATATGCCGTTTTCGTTGATATTGTCTTTGATATCTAAGCCCACAACCAAAGCACGCATATTTTCGTGAAATGTCATGTAACATTACATGTTTTTCTAAAGTTGAAAGCGAAAATGATTTAAATGTGCATTCTTTACAGTACCTATAAAGGTCACGTTTATAAATAATGTTGCTTTTAAATGTTTTCTGCGTGACTTCCAAATCGCTGACATTCACTAGATCTGCATTTGTGAAAATTTTTTCATGGTATTCGGGAATACTTGACAAGCAAGCAACATCGTGGAGTTTGTCATGTTTGTTAACACATTTTTCATATTCAAGGTAATTATTTTTCAATGTTGTGTCATCTACAAGCTCATTGATGTTGTTATTTACAGGCTCTGTAATGTAAAGACATAATTGATAGAATTGGGTAGATTTTGTGGCAAGCTTATTTGTTTTAAACCATATACGAGTATATCAATGTTTTAAACACACGGGATTTAAAGCGTTGCTTATAAACTCTATTATTATTATTATTATCGTATTTATTTTAAACTCTCGCCTCTCCCAAGGCCTAAAAGATTAATTTTGAATTTTTAAATGGGAGAGGCGGTATTTCCCGGCAATGGCACATTATTATTATTATTATTATTTCTTTACTTTTCTCAGATTTTTTTTGTAGCTGGTTTGAACCACACTTGTAGACCGAAATCAAGCAAATGCAGCATGTCTATGAGACAGTGGTGGTGATGCGTAACAAAAGCTTACTTTGTCCTCTTTCGTCTGCAAGAACCTTATTATTATTATTATTAGGGTTCATTCGGGGCACATGTAGCCCCTCATCACTGCGACCATCAGTAGATCTATTGTGATTGGTGTTGTAACTTAAAAAAAACCAATTGTTTTTTTTTCATATTTTTGAAAAAAAAAACATGAAAAAAACACAGTGCCCTAGTTTTTTTCTAAATTTGGTTTTTTTCAGAAAAAGTAAAATGGACGAACTGAAATAAAATAAGATACTAACTTCTGTTTTAAGAATATATATATGTGAATATATAATATATAACATGTTTATTAAAATCAATTACCATGATAATTATAAC